GAGCGCCCGCCGGACGAGTTAAGCCCCTCTGCTCTCGGCAGGCAGGAGACGTCAGGAGAGAGGTGGGTCGGGTCGGGACCGGCGCGCTGCGCGGTGATTTTGACTGCAGGATGGGGGGTAATTTATCGCGCGAGCTTACTGCCAAAATGTAGCGATGACAGTGACGGCCTTTGTCTGCAGCGGCGACGCGCCCCGCGAGGAGGAGCGTCGTGCCCTGCCCTGACCCGGCGGGAAAGGGAGGGGGAGTAAGCGATGTGCAAAATTTCTCATGGCCTGCTATACCAGGGTCGGTATGGGCAGGCGTAGGGCGACACCTGTGCCCCTCCTCTGTGTGTGCGTGTGTGTGTGTGTGCGTGTGTGTGTGAGTGAGTTTGCAGGCGTGCTGCTTCCTGGCCGGGGCGATATGTCACCGCCGACCTAATTGGGTCGCAGGCTGGAAATAATCCCCCCGAGACCCGACGAGAAGGGCAGGGGTGGGAAGGGAGGGGAGGGGCAGCGTAGACCGGGCCAATTTGTGTAGTCATATTGCGAGACGGCCCCTTGGCCCGCCCGGCCTGCCCCGGCCCGGCCCGTCCGGCGAGACTGTCTTCATCCCTTCCGCCCGTCCGTCCGTCCGTCCGTGGGTCCACCCGCCCGCCGCACCCTTCTGCCTCGGGGGGTAAGTTATATCGCCGCACCGAGCGGCAGCAGGGCAGCAGGCAGGACGGGGAGGGCGGGCGCTAGGGCGCTACCTGGGGATGCGGCAGCACGAACACATGCGTGTGCAGAGGTTGCCTATCCGTCGGTGCGCGGGCGCTCACAGCCGCCCCACCTCCCTCCGCGCCTTTGATATCCTGCATAGTGGCCCGATTGGATGGGCTCATCATTTTAAGATGGTGTCAATTTTAGATTTGTTCCTAACTAACGCAATATGACATGGGCCGCATTTTACCGCTTAACTTCCAAATTCAGATGAAGTACTTTTATGAAGTGATGCTGTTCCCTCCTGTATGCATTTTGTGGGGATGTGATGAAAGGCCGCTACCTTTTGAAGCGCTCCACCCCTCCCAGAGCGAATATTTAAGTCCTTGCCCGTTATCTGTAAGTGTTGTTCACCCACACTTTGGTCACTGTGCCTACAGGAAACGCCGAGATGTACATCGTGTTCGCGCTGCTCATCGGGCTGGTCACGGTGGTGATCGGCTGCTGGCTGTCGGACAACTGCTGGTCCCCGGAGCCGGAGATCATCCTGCCTGCGTAGCAGAAGTCGCGGGCCGTGGCTGCCGTGGCCCCCCTGCCCCTGGCGCTGCCCTGGGCCGCGCCCTGGACCTCGGCCTGCCTCGGGCCCCGCGCCGCCTGGGCGGCCTGGGCCAACCACCACCACCCCCACCCCCTCCATCCAGTGGGGCCCCAGGCCGGCAACCCCGCCGGCGCCGGCCTCTGCCACGGCCCCGAGGGCAGCCCCCACGGCCCGCCCTGCACCCCGCTGCTCGTGATGAAGAGGCCCACCGTGAGGAAGTTCCGGTCCAGGCCGAGGCCGCCCTGGCCTTGGCATAGCAAGCGAAAGCGCGGCCCCGCCGGTCTCGCCGCCCTGCTCAGGTAGGTGGCCGTCGCCGTGCCGAGGCCGGAACGTGCGCCTCGCGAACGGACGCCTTTCCCCCTCCTTTGACTAAGCTGAGAGCGTCGGAGCGCGCGGCTCTTGGCCCGCCTCAACAAATAAGCCATAACGAGGTTGTTAGTTGTTTTGCCTCATCCCGCTTTCGCAGCAGAGTCGCTCTACCTCAACTCCGTTCCATCCCCTGAAGTTTGATTCACTCTGTGTGCACGAGCGTGCTGCAGGATTGCCTCGGGGGTGGCCTGCCCCGCCCCGCCCCACCCCGTTCCGCCCAGCTTGCCCTGCTTCGCCTCGCCACACCGCGCCGCGCCGCGCCCGAGGTAGTGGCCGAGGTGGTGATGGAGTGTGGGAACCCACGCACTGGGCCGCGGCCGGTCCGCCCTCGCCCCCGCCCCCCGCCATCCATCAGATCCCGGGGAGAAGAGGATCGGGAAGGAGGGCGAGGGCGACAGAGAATCTATCTCCATCGCCTGCGCGTCTCTCGGTGGGCTGGGCGTCACTCGTGTGTACTTTTGCAGGGCCCACCTGACCTCTCCGGGGCCGGAGCCCTCCCGGGGGCGCCCCGCTGCCGGCCCCCGCCTGCGCTCGCGCTGGTCGCGCTGGTCCCGCGCGCCCCGCGCCCTGTCGCAGTTCATGCTGGCGCACGCGGCCGCCGGCGCCTCGGCCGGGGCGGCGCTCTCCGACCTGCTGGCCGACCTGCGGGACGCCGTGAGGGGCATCGTCGCGCACCTGCTGCCCGCCGCCCGGCCGCGCCTGCCTCTGGCCGCGCTGCCGCCGCCGGCCGCCGCCCCTGCCGCCGCTGCCCCCGTGCCGCACGCCGTGTGCCGCTCTAGGGGCAAGGTGTGCCGCGCGGACCGCACCTCCTGGATCGTGCCTCGCCGCTGGAAGGGTGCGTCTGCACCCAGACCCGCCGCCAGGCTCACGGCCTGGAGGGTCACGGCTGCAGTACCCGCGCCTGCCGCTGCGCACTAGACCGTCATCGTGGACATTCCTGCTGCGCAGCAGCTCGATCAGATATTGTGTCTGGAAGAAAAGAGACAAACCCGACAAGAATTTCCCGTTTTTTCGCGGAAAGGACTGGCATGCGTCGGATCCTCTGTGCGAAATAAAGAACGCTTAGAGTTTCGGTGGCCAGTCTTGGCTGCAGTTATTTATTTAGTTTTTGTATTATCGATCAATGTCTTAAGTTTCGTAACTCACTTTCAGAAGTTTTGTCGGAGCGTACGAGCATACGTTGAGCGGGCTGCGGCCGCGTCTCACATGCTAATGCTAGATCCCATCTGGGGTGGGCCTAACTGAAGAAAGGGGGTGTGAGAGGGAAGCATGTTAATTTGAGGGTTGTGACAAACAGACACTTCTTGACAAGAAACAGTACACAAGTTTACCAACACTACTGCCTCCCTCACCTCTAACCTTGGCATGATGACAGAAGCAATGTAATTAGATGTTAGTTTCTTTTCATGTCGGTGCGGTTGCAAGACCGTAGGATCGGTGTGCACTGTGCTGGTACAGATGATGGGGACCTTCTTTAACAAAGACCCTTTCAGTTTACTTATAGGCGGAAGACGTACGTTCCGAACCTAGGCCCAATCTGGATCCGTCAGTGGAAGGATTTTGTTAACTTCACTCTGAGTGCAGTACTCTTTGTCCTCTTCATGTAGATGTATTGTATGTCCACCATAAAACGGAATTCTTAGAGAATCTATAAGAAGTGTAAATGAATGGCTGCTTCTTGTTCTATAATGACTAAACTTCTAATAATTGTCTACCTTTATTTTTTGATAAAGTTTCTCTTGAGTAAATGCGCTATCAATGTGATGTAAAATGTCAAACTAGGACACTCTTCTTAGGATAAAATACAAGTAGCCTTAAGTACTACCGTTTAGAATAATCTAATTTTCTAATGGACTGAAATCAAAATAGAAATTATCCATGTTGTAACGTGCCACTCTTAAGCTAGTGACTAACGTGTAAATCTAAGTTAACAAAAACACATCAACCATTGACTTATAAAAATTAAGCTTAATTCATACATTCGAAAAAAAAAATCTGCTCAAGTTTTGTACTAACTCTTTACCTCTTACTCGCGTGTTCTGCTTCGGCGCCTCGGTACTCGCTCTGTCTACGGTTGGTTACGCATCGAGAGGGTGAAGACCCGTAAGCACCAAACCACTCGGCTCAGCCACCCTCCCGCCTCCATTGGACCCTCTCCCTCCCCTCCCCTCCCCTCCAGCCGGGACACGTGTTTGCGTCGGGGATAACGTGCCGTTCTGGTGCGTGTGGGGTTTCGCCCCCCCCTCCTTCTCGTTCACCCCCTTCCCTCCCCACCAAAAAAGCCCTAGATCCCGAACGAGCTGGTGCGGTTCATAGGAGCAGCCTTATCCCTCAAGGGGGACTGAAAATCGAATTGTGAGAAGGAAATGGCGGGTAAGGGATTTCTGTTTGGGAGGGTAGAGGCGCAGGCGAAGGGCGTAAAGGCAGACTAAATCCCCTCATAGCCTCGGCGCAGCTGCGTCGCCAGCTCATATGAAAGCGCAGTAAAGGGATGCGGATGAGAAGGGGGCAGAGAGGCGGGGTTCGGGG